GGACCACGCAGAGCTTCAACCAGACCAACCACGAAGAAGGAGAGAGAGCTCAGACGTGTCTTCTGTTCAGCATCAATGACAGAAAAGAAAGAAGAGGAGAACTTTACATTTGAGATGCTCAGCGTTCTGTTTTACTGTTATCGCACAGTCTCAGAACTTCCTGTGGTTTTTGTCCTTTAGTCTCCATGTTCTCCCCGTGCAGCGTGGGTTCTCTCCGGGTTCTCAGGCTTCCTCCCACAGTCCAGAAACATGCTGAGGTTAATTGGTGATTGTAAATTGTCCGTAGGTGTGAATGTGAGTGTGCTTGGTTGTCTGTCTCTAAGTGTAGCCCTGTGATAGACTGGTTACCTGTCCAGGTGAACCTCCAGCCCCCCTGCGACCCTGCGACCCTGCTGAGGATTAAGGTGTGTAGATGATGGATGGATGTTGTTTTATCTTCATTGTGGCTGCTGTAGATGAGCATCATCTAGTGGCTGGAGGTGGTAAAGACGCTTAAAACAAACTGCATTTATTGTTGAACTCTGTTGTGTTTAATGAGTGTGTTTAGAGTATAAATCACATTTTTATATGTCTGTCTTTGAATGGCTGCAATAACTTTCATGCTGTGGATGTCAGAAGGCCACATCCTGCAGCGATCTGTACGTCTCTGAGCAGAAGTCAACTTCTGTGCGTCGTATCTTTCTGCAACTCATCCCAGAGTTTCCCGTTTTTTTTTTTTTTTCTCAAACCTTCCTTGAACTTTTCCAAAACCGCAGCTCTGGCGAAACCAGTCACTGGAGTGAACTGCAAAATACGCACACGAGTCACATTTTTATTCACTGTGGGCTCGTTTTTCACTAGAATATAAAGTCCAGACAAAGGAGAGAGGACTCAGAAATGTCCTCTGTCTTCTATCATGACAATAATAATAATAACTTTATCTGTATGGCACCTTGAAGAACAACATTTCACAAAGTGCTGTGACAGAATGCAGGTAAACGATCAGGCAGGACAGGGCGAACACATGACAAAGTGAATATGTACAGAATGGACAGGAAGTTAAAACACTGGTTAGAAGGACGACATCACACGACGGGGGTTCAGAGAGACGCTGAGGAGAAAATCAGAGATAAAGACAGATTAAGATCAGGAGGTTAGAAGGAAGGACGACAAGCAGCAGAAGTTTAAAAATGGACAGAAGTGATAAAAGAGAAATAAAAGAGGGTTTCACTTGAAGGAGAGTCCATAGAAGTGGGTTTTAAGAAGTGATTTGAAAGAAGCTACCGATTCAGCGAGCCTTATCTCCTTCAGGCAGGTCGATCCGAGGCCGAGGCCCGGTCAGATCTAACAGGGGTCAACGTGTCTACAGCCGGAGGAAGGTTCTGTGTGATCAGCAAAACCTTAAAATCAGTTCTAAAAGGGACGGGGAGGCAGAATGGGGGAGCTGTGATCTGTTCAAACCAGTACGAAGCCCAAAGAAGGTGCAACGGCTCAGATCTTTACCACAACTGGAAAAAAAGTCTCACCACTTCACACATGCATGAACATATCTGCCTACTTTTATCTGTGTTTTCCTCCCTGCTCTGTGGAAACACCGCCTGCAGAACGGTTTCTTTATTTTCGATGAAATTTCGCAATTCCAAGCGAACGTTTGGCTCGTCCCCCTGACAGAACAGCACGTGGCACACAAGTAGCTCGAGCACCGTTGTGAAGTTGACTTTTTGACTTGATTTGCCTCGTGGGAGTGAATTAGACGCGAATGTTGAACTGACTCGTGTGTAAAAGTCCAGAACGCCATCATGACCTCCAGACTCTGATGCAGTCGGCCTGTTTTCCTCCAACATGTTTATTCTGGATTAAATGCTTTGAACTGAGAGTCACTAAATTGAGAGAACTTAATTAACTTCTTCTGTTTGGAAAAAAAAACATTTAAAACAAAAAAAAAAGGGAAAAGAAACTGTTGAAGTAAAGAAAATGTGCTCAGCGTTCAGCCAGCAGCTTTGACAGACGACGCATTCAACTTCATTTGATAGCAAAAGACTCAAACTACCATGAAGACTGGATGAAATCGTGGCTGGAGTGGCTCCATGTGACACCTTTACTTCCTTGAAACTTTGCATCCACGTGCACTGAAAGCAGATTATTACAAACACCCAGAACTGTTTGATCACTTTCTTTATTTCTAATGTATATTTCATGCCTTTTAGTTCAGTGACGACGCCAACTATGAGAATCAAGAGGTTGATGGTGGCACGGGAAGTTGTCCTGCATGAAGCTTCCCTGTGGTTTAGAAGGAGCCCTCAGTTTCACCGCGCTCAGCTCAAAGTTAGCGGAAAGTGCAAAATCACGGTGCGTGTGCAGAAGTGCAGCGAGTCGTGCCGAGGTCGCCTCCCTCCCGCTAATGGCTAATAAGGCGTTCATGGGTGACACACAAACACACGCCGACAAAAACAGGCGCGTATGAAAGAGTTGGCACGCGACAAACCGAACAATTAAACTAAATGCGACGTTGCACGCGCACCTGCGAGCCGCACGCATGCGACGAACACCAGCGGGTCAGGCGGCGTCCACGTTCTCATGACACGCTGGTTTTGTGGGTTTATGAGTAACAGCGTATGTGATTGATGGTGTGCCCGACATGTCGTTTGGTCAAACAGGATCTCTGGATTATTAAACATGTTGAAGAGTAACTGAAGGCTGATTCTCTGTTATCCACATGTTGGATGCTGAAGTGAAGGCAAACGCGAGTTTTACTTGATCGTCTGTTTCCGTGTTTTCAGTTTGTTCACAGCTAAAGGGAGCAATGTCAGCGGTTTTATAAGTAAAGAAAGTACAGTCGTGACTCGATAATCTGACACTAAATGTAAAACCTTCTTCTATGTCGGATTGTCCAGACGGAGGTCCAGATACGAGGAGGGCTTGATGCTGGAAGGCTCATTAGTTGTTCATTATTGTTCATAGTTGTT